ACGAGTTCATGAACTTTAGTTCAATGAACGCGTTCAGGCACAACACTGACAATGATGCAGAATGCTCTTTGGGGTTTCTGTTTGTAAATAGAAACATTTGTTAGTTTATCACTTAAATAGCGCCCATTTAGCCCTGCTGCATGGTGAGGCAGCGTCAACTTCTCTGCTGGTTTCAGAAGGCGAGGATGTGATTATAGAAAAAATGGAGGGCAGTACATAAAGCATCTATTACATAATCGGAAAAAAAGAACATGCTGACAAGAAGCACAGTAGAGTGGGAAGGCTTGTATGTTAATACACTTCATAGAGCTAAGTTTTAACATTCCTCTGAGAGCAGCTAGAACCCACTGTTTTAAAGTGCTGCTCCCAGCACATACCCTGTCTGTTAATGATGTTTGGGTAGACAAAAACTTACTTGTCTCCTTAAGTCCTGGACTGAACTTTGTCATGGTGCTTTTAGGATTAATTGAAGATAAGATCTTCTCATCCAGCGTCAGTGTCTGACCTCACATATATTCACTTCTGGAGGAAAGGTCAAAAAGACTCCAAAGGGCTGGCCAATGTTAGATCAAACCTGTAAGATTTAGATAGGATAAAAAAATGTTTCACTAATTTATACATGTGTTATGAGATATAGAAGAAGAAATGCTTTTGGGAATGTAGTGCAGATAACTCTGTAACCGTAACACACCAAAAATTGTTGCAAGCATTACCTTGTAGCTCTATGAATGCTATGAATGTGTTTAAAAATCAGTAAAGAGGCCACCCGCTGATATCTCAGGGTCCCGCTTATAAAAATTAGATGAATGTGAAGAGCATAAATAATCCTTTCATTATCTGTTGAAATCAGTTTTACTGCTCATTAATGACACATTAGGTGTTTTTCTGTTGCATTAAACTTTCAGTATCAGCCAATAAAAGCCTGATTGAGCAAACAGTGTTTTAGTAGCAGACAAACTCAGCTTTGCCAATTTAATCTTTTTTATATCTTGTATCTTATTTCTTGTTTATTGTAATTATTACTCTTACCTACCAAACCCCATGGCTTAGAACTTCATCTTTCTTTTATAACCACTCTCAAACTGCCTATAGCACACAAAATTTGCCAATTTAAATTGGTGGAGCTAATCCATTTTGCATATGTTAAAGGTTGTTGTTTTTTTTTTGTCCTATCCTCCATATTTGAATTCTTCCAGCATCAGGCCATTAATGTTCAAACTGATCAACTTGATTGTTTTCATGCTGTTGTTGTTGTAGTTATTGAATTTGAAGGGCTGAGCCAGGGGGATGTTTACCACTGATCTGCATTAACAACGCTCAATAAGCGTTTAGGAATTAAGAATACTATTTTGCTCTTTGTACGTAAAATTCTCTTCCATTCTGCCTTGAAGTACAACTTCAGTTGCTTAACAAACTGATTTTCCCATGTTGTATTTTACGCTTCTTATTTAGTGTCACATTTTTAACAGAAAAAGGTTTGGATTCCATGAGGGTGGTCTTGGTCTGCTGTTGGAACCTGTCCAGAGTGAAAGATGTTCCTTGGATGAGAAAAAATGTTACTTCAAAGCGTTTATATTTCTTTTAGAATTAATGTGTAAGTTACTCATGCCACTAAGACACCACTGTACCATCACTGATTCTGGCATTTTTAACATTTCCTTGATAATAAGTCATATAATGTTAATTCCTTTTGGCTTAATGTAAACCATGTCCATGGTTTACAACAAAGCAATTTGAAATAGACTCGTCAGACAGCAGAACACTTTTCCACTTTGCATCTGTACATCTCACATGAAGCTCTGACCAGAGAAGCCATGTCG